AAAAAAACTTACATTTTCCTCCTTTTGAGTAAGAATTTTCGCTAATGTTCGATGACGACACGAATGAGGTTGACACAGAGTGCGGTCCAAGAATTTCTGAATCGAGCTCATACAACTGATCACGTAATTACATTTGAAGATGTGATTTCTCAAGGGAATAAATGATTAAACAATTATTTGAATAACAATTAATGAAAATACTACCTTCTATAGGCTTCTCCAGCTTTCCTTGCCGTTGGAACTTGCGCAAAGAATAAAGCAAATCAACTCGTTTACAATTCTGTAGAGCTTTCACAAGGTCCTTAGCTGGTCGATCTCGACATCTTTTCAACACTGCTTCCATTGGTCGAGGATCATGTCGAAGTGACTGAAAAGGAACATTTACACGTCAGGGCAATAACAAAGACATTCGTGCGTGAAGCTTAGAGATTCCTTTTGCAGTTCAAGCAAACTGGCGCTCAAAAACGGGTGTCCCAAAAAGACAGTAGGGGGCTAAGGAGATAGCATGAACTTACGACTATCTCGGAGTCATTCATTCCTAATTGTATGCCAACTGAATCCCAATTTTTCAAGGATCCATAAGAGGGAAGATTAAGATGTGAGCACAGGAACGACAACACTTCATCTCGGATGTCTCGAATTCTTGAAGAATCGTTAAGAAGACTTTATTCGCTCCATACATCGAAAAAAAGAATTGTTCAACGCACACCTCAAAGAGTCAGGACAGCGCAGTCGTACATCTTCTAATCTCAGAGGTGGTCGTATCCAAGGTCCACGCTTTTTGGTTCCCACTTCCTTAGCAATGAAACCCTAAAGAGGGAGAACGTTAGGATCATACACATGTTCTCTAGGCACTTGACTGTATTTTAGATGAGACTAACAATTCCATGGACTCAAAATACTAAAGTCTTGCTGTTTTTCTAACAAAGCACAAGGAAGCAAGAAGTGTTTGAAGCTCGAAATAAACTAACCTGAACTACTTCATCATCGATTTCAATCGTTGCACCAACCGTAGTGGAACACGAATAGCTAGCATCATCATCCATTTACCAATAACTACCTTCGAAAGGAATTTATGCGCGATCGAACGAAGAGTACTAAAGCAGTTTCTCAGGTGACACCTGTCTCGAAACAACACCAAACGAAAATTATTTTTTATTAGAACGGCAACAAATGATATGTACATCGTGTTGACAAATGTTGACCGTTGATCTTGATGATATTACAGGCGTTCTTCAAATCTCGAAGAAGACCGGAAGAGAGTGAATTTGACGAATGTTGATACAAAAAGCTCGATCATTACAGCTTGTTATCGTATTGCCGTGTAACAACCTGGCCACCGACATGGTGCACGAAGCTCTTTGAGTTATTAATACAGACAAAGTCTAGATAGAGCAAAACAGTTAAAGAAATTACAGCTGCGTACAAACTATGAGCATACTTGCCTATACGCATACCTGCAGTTCAGAAGTAGATATGCAAGACGTGAAAATGCAAAAATAAAGCTGGTACTATAGTTGGCACGC